GTATGATTCTTACCTATTTTTGTTTAATGATTGTTTTTTCGAAAATTGTTATAATTTTTAAACTTTTTTCTGCATTAAATTTATTATCATAAAACAAATTTGTTAATATACATATAAACTGACTGGAGCCGTAAAATGGGTCATTGTAAGTCTAATATTCCCAGCGATCTTTTTTAATCTTTTTCCTCATATATAATTCCTAGCTGTACAAACTCGTAAAATACGGGTCTTAATCAGCGACTATTTATATACTTTTTTATTCCGCACCAATCATTTCTATACTTATTTCTTACACGGTCAGTTGGAAGCAGCAAGTTATTTTACACAAGTGCATTTAGAAAATTTTGAAATTTAGATTTTAATGATGGGTACGGTATTTAGCAATAAAAATATTTTTCAGTAGCAACCATATATTTATAGTTTTAGGTAGTAATAAAAATCTGCATCCTTTTTTTTGAAAAATTTTTTGAGCGTTGTAACTTGAAACTTGTTATAAAGTTTTAAATTTTAAAATTATTTATTTTTACTTATTGCCCCGACAAAAATTTTCATGTAGGCCATATATGGCAGTTGCATGTTAACGATATATTTACAACTCTCTTTTATGATGATTGGCTTTATGGGATGGTTATTGATGGGTGGCTTTGGTGCGTTCCATATATGACTACAATGTTTATCCCGCTAAAATCACACTAAATTGAAACAATAGCTACACTTCATTTATCCGTAAAGCTTTATGTCGCCCACGTGTGGTTAGAAAATGTTAGCAATATATTTATCTTTCTCCTTTATGGGATGGCGTTGGTGCGTTCCATATGTGGCTATGATGTTTTTCTGATTAAAATCGCACTAAATAAGAACGAAAGCCGCATTATTTTCCTACAAGAAAGTTATAACAAACACATAAATAAATCTTCTGACTTGTTTAAATATTATATTTAATCAACTTTTCATTAAACTTAAAAAATTCGTTCTGTATAAGTTCTGTACACAAAACTAATCTGATGAATCATGCAATAAAGACGCAATATTTTCTTAAAAATCTTTATCTAGCATTTTTACAATGTCGTCCAACAGTAGCTAAAAATAGTTTCATATGAAATCCATGTACAAACAAAATCGAGAAAAAAATTAATAATAAGGAAATCTTGCTTACGTTGCCCGCCATTATAAAATCTAAAGTTGTTTTCTGGCAGCAAACACAACGTATTAAAATACTTTTAGCTTCGTTATAATTAGTGTTATATTAAACTTCGTTTAGTATAACACTGATTACAACGTTTGTTTTGCAAGAAACGATATACATCGTTTCTTGCAAAACAAACACATAAATATTCTTTTTTAGGATAAATTAAAATAGGTAGTCTAATGTTTGAACTTAAATTGAGATCTGCCTTCAACAAATAGCAACTCAATAGCAGCTAAAACAGCATCGAATTCATTCAAATTTTCATAGTCTGTGCTACAAAACGTAATTTTAAAAACATTTGATGCACTCTCAGTCCGGTCACCCCTTAAAGTTCAATTTATTTTACGAAATCTATACAAAACGGCCCACGTTTCCAGACTAGTTAAATACTATGACTATGTATATACGCATGATTAAGTGTTAGGTCAGCGTTCACTATCAGGAATCAGCGACTTAGATATATACTTAACAGAAAAACGTTGCAGTGAACAGACGTTTTTTAACAGCTCTTTATAAATTATTAAAATAAAAGATAAACTTATTATTATTATAAAAAAGATAAATCTAAAATGACAGTTGCTCTTGTAGAAGTTAAAAAAATGCTGAAGGAAATGTTTTTGGAATATAGAAAAGAAATGGAAACAATGCTTAAGCAACAACAACAAATATTTATAGAAATCTTAAGCGCAAATACAAAAATAATTAATGAGAGACTTGACAAAGTTGAAGAAAACTTTAAAGAAAGTACAAACAAAATAAAGATAATAGTAAAAGATATCGAAGACATAAAATTGAGCTTAAATTTTCATGATGAAGTTTTTGACAAAAATTTGCAACTATCCACAAACAAAACAATGATCGAGTGGAAAAGGATAACATTACAACGCAAAATATAAATGAAAAGCTAAGAAAGTTTGAAGATAGATCGAGAAAAAATAATTTAAGAATAAACGGGTTACCAGAAAGTGTGAAAGAAACATAGAATGAAACTGAGGATAAAGTTAAACTATTTTTAGTCAATAAGTTGGGACCAAATGGAATAGAAGTCGAACGAGCTCATCGAGCCAGAAAAGAAGGAAGCTCCAGAACAGTTATAATGAAGTAGTTAAGATACAATGATAAAACAAAAATTCTAAAAGAGTCATATAGACTAAAAGGTACAAACATTTACTTAAACGAAGATTTTTCCCATGAGACTGTCAATATTAGGAAAAGACTCCTGGCTGAAGTAAAAGAACGACGCAATAATGGTGAAAATGTTGGTTTAAGGTACGATAAAATTATTAAATTGAATAATATCAAAAAAAAAAAAAAAAACTCTTCTTTCTTATATTTATATTTTACACGTGTATGAATATATTTATATATCTTATACTTAATTTTTTAAGCAGTTAAATTTTTAATTATGACAATGACGGAAACAAAATATTTTGAAATTTTTGATTAAGAAAACACTCTTCTTCTGAACAATAACAACGACCCTGACAAAAATTTTTTTGAAAACGACTCATTTAAGTCTAATTACTATAGTATCGAAGAATTATCTTGTTTTATAAATGCGTCACAAAATACTTTTTCAGCGCTGACATTAAATATACGCAGTATGAGCAAAAACTTTGAAAACTTTAAAGAAATGCTAAAACACATAAGTCACGAATTTACGGTAATATGCCTTTTAGAAACATGGTGCAAAGACGAAAATACCATAAACTCAAATTTTCAATTAAAAGGCTATAAAGCTCTCCATCAAACTCGTAGTAGAGGTACTGGCGGAGGAATATGTTTCTACATACATAATACAATACAGTTTAAAAAAGTAGAAAGCCTAAGCATACTGAACGCTTATATAGACCACCAGATGGCAATATAAAATCCTTTAAAAAACATATAATTCAGTACCTAGAACTGGCTAAAAATAAGCACTTATACATAATGGGAGATACTAACTTGGATCTTTTAAAAATAAAAACTAATAACAATGTCAAACGCTTTTTAAATAATCTCTTACAGCACGGCGTAGAACCTTTAATAAATAAGCCAACTCTAGTAACTCACTGAACAGCTACCCTAATCAATAACATATTTACAAATACTACCATAAAATGTAATATTCAAAGCGGAATAATAAAATCTGACATAAGTGACCATTTTCCGATATTTCTTCTGCTTAACAATTTCAATAATAAAAAGGAAAACAAAACAATAATTACAACAAAAAGGCAAATAAATGATAAAAGTATAACAAAGTTCCGAAGCAACTTAATAATGGAAAACTGGGATCAGGTTGTTAATTGCAAAGACACTAACATAGCTTACGATATTTTTAAACACACTTTTACAACTTTGGACGAAAAAGCGTTTCCCATTAACAAAACTCAAAAACCTTAAAAGTCCTTGTATGACAAAAGGGCTTATTAAATCTTCAAAAAAAAAACATAAACTTTATGAAAAATTTTTGAAAAAAAAGACTTTTAAAAACGAAAAAATATATAAACAATACAAAAATTTATTTGAAAAATTAAAAAAACATTCAAAAAAAAACTATTACTGCAATTTATTAGAAAATTATTGCGGTAACACTAAAAAAACATGGGGTGTAATAAAAGAAGTAACAGGAAAAAAAAAAGATGCTACCAAAGTGTTACTGCAATACTTAAAAACAGATGAAAATGATACAGTAGCCAATAAGGCAATAGATATTGCAGAGAAATTTAATAACTATTTTATAAAAATTGGGGAAAAACTAGCTAATAAAATAACTCGTGGAAATAAATGTTATAAGCTGTATCTAAAAAAAAAAGCCTCAGTCGTGAACGAGCTTGAAATAACTCCGGATGAGCTTAAAAGATGCATATAATACCTTACAAGAAAACAAAAGGTCAGGACTAGATGACATTAGGGTGAACGTTGTAAAAAATGTCTACGATATTATTGAATATCCCCTTCTGCATATCTGTAATCTGTCTTTAAAAAATGGGGTGTTCCCTGACCAGCTAAAGCTAGCAAAAGTTGTTCCTATATTTAAAAGCGGAGACAATTCGATTGTTTCTAACTACAGGCCTATTTCTATTTTGCCATGCATTTCAAAAATATTAGAGCGCATAATTCACAATAGGCTAAACAATTATCTTGTATATAAATATTATCAAAACAAGCTGATTTTTTGATATCTTGCCGAGGGCCGCGGTTATGGAACTTGCTTTTAACAAGTAATATAAAAACTTTAAATTCAATTCAACATTTTAAACGTGCAACAAAACAACACTTATTTGGTTTTGACACAAAGCAATTACTATCGTATTATTAACAACTTTTGGTAATCTTAGTTATTTAATGTCTTATAAATTGACTCAACATCATAATTATATTGTATGGTACTTAGAACATGTATGATATTATTTTATTTTACAATAATAACGTAATTTGTAAATGCAATATTTATTATATCTTACGCAATTTGTAGATGGAATGTAATACAGATTTATTTGATTTGTATGTATATATGAACGGACATATATTTGTGTGTACGTGTGCGTATGTGTGTGTGCGTGCGTGTATAATAAAAATAAAAGTAGAATAAAATAGAGAATTAAAAAAAATAATAATAATGAGAAGAAATAATTAATTTTTTTTTTTTTTTTTTTTTTTTTTTTTCTCTTTCTGTAAATAATAATTTGATTTTTAAGTTCTTTTCTTCTTAAAATCAATTCTTGCTTTAGTTTCTTTTTTCCTTTTTCATTTTTATCGGCTGAATTTTTTAGTTATATTAACGGGGCTGGATTATAAGATCATGTCTTCTGCCAGCTCCGGT